TCTTTAAGCATCTTGGAAGGGAGTACATTAATGTCATCACTTGAGCGCTTTCACTTGTGCTATGGGAGGGGAAGTGTTGAAACTCAGTGTTATCTCCAGTAATTAAAATACCCTTCAAAGGGAAACCTCTGCATGACATTGTAGGGAATGAAGGTTTCAGCTATACACCAAGAGCATGTCAATGCCACTTTCTACTCTGTACCAGGCTTCTTCGGAAGATACACCAGATCCAGTATCTTCTGTCAGCAGGATTTCAGCATGACCTGTTACTCTAAGCAGTGGTAAGGAAAATGAAATTTACCTTTTGTCTCTCTACATGTATGAGTGGTTATACTCACACATATCATTCACCTAGTCTTGCTATCTGCAAAGGCCAGTTAATTAATCCTTTGGTTTACGCTCATCCACCTATTTCAGAAAATCTACTTCAGCAAATAGACATACTCTTTGCTTGTTCATTGAAGGGTTTTTTAATGTGAAGAGAAACAGAAGCTTCTGATTAACCACGTGTGACTGCTTAACTACACTGAAATCAACTCCATTTTCAGCAGTTTCTAAGCTGTTCAGACTTTCCTAAAAAAAGCCTCAGCGCTCAAGTCTTTAAACAGTTCGTCCAATAAAGCTGATGTCGTATACCAGGTATTGCAGACGCATCTCTTAGCTGCAGCTGAAAGCTGGCAAGGTTAATCTCCTTTTGCCCAACATACCGAGCCTTGCAGGAAAACAAAACTAAAAAGAATGAATAACCTCAGGTCTTGACAAGCAAAGTTTCTTCCGTTGGTCTGATTCAAAACATGTTACGTTGTTTTCAGCATACGAGTCCCATCTATGCACCATGAAACGACGATGAAAAAAGTATGATGCAAAGTCTTCTTAAATAGTCACCCAAAATATAAAGAAAGCATACAGAAACTTGATGCAAAATCCAGAAACAGTCCAGGGCAGTGCTTGGGTACCACTAAAGATTTAAGGACTACTGGGGATTATGTGGCCAGCCACAAACTGTCTCGTAAGAGGTCATGACAGTGTTCTCTGCTGCTAAGATGAGTGAACAGACTGCCATTCCCCATTAAAGGGTTGTCTATCGGTTTAAAAAAAAAAAAAACAAGACAAAAAAACCCAAAACCACCAAGGAAGAGCATACAGTCATGCAGCTGATCGTCGTCGAATCACAAAAACACCTCGCTGCAGCTGTCCCAGATAAATTCGCATTTTTGTGCTGTCACTGGTTTTTCTCACCCAGATCTGCATGAAAGAAAAAAAGAAAGGGAGAGGCAGAGAGATATATTGGGGAGAAAAAGAGAAAAGCCACAGTAAGCAACGGGCAGCTAAATAAGTCCAGGTATTCTTACTGCTATATCTGAACATCTCCGTTACTCAGGGATTTAGCTTAAGCCCTTCTCCCTCCCCACATTACACATTTGCAACCTGAGCAGAAAACGAAGTAAGGTTTCTAACTTTACCACCTTCACTTCCTGCTCAAAACAGTCATCAAGAAAAATTACTCGTTCCCAGCATCATCAGGAAAGCAAGTTTCCTCCTGCTACAGTTTGCAACAGAACTCTGGCATTAAGCTTTACCTAATCAAGAATAAGTCTCTCTAGATCCACAGATCATAAAATTACCTATCCTGGGATTTGCCCAGACAAGTAACTATTAGTCAAACGAAAAGCTTATTCTGATTTTGTTCAGTGAAGCATTTCTCACAATGTATTAAATAAATTGTAGCTGAAGATAAAAGGGCCTCTCAAACACCTGCATGGAAGAATTCATGTCACTTGGTGATATACAGTGTGTTTCAAAGGACAAATTGCTCCCATGGAGGCAGCCACTCAGCATTTCTAAAAAATAGAAATCACTTCCAAGAAGTTTAGACCCAAGTACCTGTACTTTAAAAATCAATTCTGAGCAAAACTCCTCTGCATTTTATCATTCACTGCATTTAAATATATTTAAATAAATGCATGGAAAATAAGAGTTATCCAGCTCTTAGTGCAAGAGTATTTTAGGACACAAGACCAAAATTTCCTACTGCAAAACACTATAAAGTTAGTGCTGGCATGAGATTTATCCAAAACTTCTTTCTTAGTTATCATATTAGCTGCCAGCTGGCCTGGCAGATTGATTTAACTCTAGTGTTTTAATTTTAAGTTGACTTTACTAGCAGAAGCCCTCGATATAAAATAAATTTAGTATTTGCCCGCATTTGTACTTATTTCTCTAGAAAAACTAGAATGCACCTTCATTGGTAGTCATCTCTCCACTGCAACATTTCCAAGAATTTCGTATGTTTTACTAACCAAAAGAATTCTTACATCTACAAACTCCGAGGAACTGTACAGAACAACAAACGTACCATTTTACATTCTCCCACGAGACGACGGAACGGTATCCTTCTCTTGCTAAAGTTAGCTGCTTTGTTAAATTCCATTTGATGGAAAATTAGAACTCAGCTTTAAGTGACAACAGTGAAAACTTATTAACACTAAGATGTGCCACACAGTTCAGAAAAACAAAAGAATCAAGACGTATTCTGAACTTGAAACTGACACTTTAGACCTACCAAGTGTTTTGCGATCAGAAGATAATGTTTATTAATCCTAAAGAACTGAAAGAGATGGTGAACAGAAGCAACAACATCCATCCCTGAATTTCTTTTATTCCTAGACTGTAAAAGAAAAATACGTTTCCCCCTTTTTTCAACGTCGAGCAAACTGAGATTGCTGAATAAACTCATGGGAATAAAAAAAAATTTCCTGCACGTACTGAAGAGTTTATTGTCAAAAGGCAAATTATTTCACTGGTTCCATGCACTTGGCCAATGATTTCCACCAATGCAGCATTTGATGCACAGTTTCCACGGAAATCACATTGAAAGTAATAGAAATGTATTTTGTTTAGATCTAAACACATCATCAAGTTTTGAAGAATTTGGGTTTGGGAAGATTCAGTTTGTTTAAGGGGGATCACCAAAGCTCAGACCATGTCAGAGAGGCCCACAGCCAACTACAAAATTCAAACCCAGTTTAAGAAAATTGATTTAGACCTTCATATGAACAAAGATGCTTCTGATACATCGTTAACTACTTCCTTTCCCCAGTCACAAAAAGGCAACTGTATGCCATAAGGTCGCTGATGTTTCTTAGTTAAGTCTTTTCCCTTTCAGCATTAACGGAAATGCTGGTGGGGAGACACTGTGCAAATATTGTCGGAAAAGTTCTTTTGAATAACTTGACTTACTTTAGAAACACTATCAACTTTTGACTCCAGTCTACAAATTAGAGACCTCAAATCTAGGTCTGCCTTCTAGTTCCCAAATTCAAGCAGGACCCATAGGATCACAGTTTGGCACCCACGCTTTTGAACCTGTGATGAAATCTGAGATGCGCACGTTGTGCTCGTAAGAGAACACCACCTCATTCCAGTACCCGTTAAGTATTTATCTCCCTTGGCTTTACCTTGTTGTTTGCCTTGTGATGGTTCCGTACAACTGCCTCGCCTCATCCCCAGTCTGTCTCAAAAAACCCCACAGAACTAACCCAAAACCTATTGTCTTGTTTAAAGCGGAATTCATGCGATTGTAATTAAGGGATTTCGTTTCTTTCAGGTTTCAGGTAAGATGCTCCCAAAAGATTGAGTATTCATGTTGTAAGTTAAGAGTAATAACTTTAATCAAATGAGCAGTTTTAATGCTAATGCTTCCATTAGCACGCTACTACTACTTTATCTAAACAACCGTCCGTTGAGCGTAACAACTGTTACTGCAAGGAGAACAGTTGTGATACAAAGCACATCCCATATGCAACTCATTTCGTTGAAAATAAAATATTTTCCCTTAGCAGCCAAAACAAATTAAAGTTACTTTATTGGCTGATTGAAGACAAGTGCATTCAAGTCTGTAATTTCTTTCCTCAAAGTGTCTGGAATCTGCAAACAAAGAACAAACTGCTCCCTTTGCCCAACTGATGCACTGCTCGAGCACTAAGCTTATTTTACAGCAAGATTCTCATCAATCTCCGGCACGCACCTCTCCTCGCCTGCTTCTCTAAGCCTTAATCATTAGCCACAAGGAAATTGTCTCAGATAAATGACTCACTTGCCCTGTCTCCCAGGCAGGTGATGAATGCTGCCAGCTTACTGCACTCAGGTTAGCAGGAAGAATTTTCTCCCCTTACAACAGCTAAATTTGGTAACAAAATTATTCCTCATCCTCTTCTGGATTCCAAACAGGATTTTCTTTTTTTTTTAATTTTACATTAATAACAACTGTGTACATATATTCTTGAAATAATGGAAATGGAACTTATGAACGCAGTGCCAACGAGATGCAACATGCCAGTTCTTCCCATTCTGCCTGCCAAACTACCACTTGCAAAATGCAGGATCATTCTTTAGAAACACAGCAAGTCTCTTCTCATGGCAAGAAGAGATCTCTCCACCCAGTTTTACCTTGGGTTCAGCTTCTTTAGACACCAGACAGCTACATCTTTTCTGAAAGCAACGCTGCTTTTCCTAGTCTTTACAGCTGTCTGCCTGCCTACGCTGAGCCACGGCTTTCCCCCCTCCCATGAAAAACAACGCAGCCCACTACCTCGTTGGCGCCCACAGAACTGATCACACAGCTGATCTTCGTGTTCTCTTTTGACTCCAGGTAAATAGCCTGGCTCTTGTGGTACCTGCAAAAATTAAAAAAAAAAAAACAACACACACATGAAACCATTAGCTGTCCAAAGACTGAGAAAAGAAGCAGTAATAAGATTGATAAAGCTCGGATTCCACAAGCATTTGCACAGAGTAAATGAAGTCTGTCTTTCCTTCCACACCATTTTCCCCATCTTCAACCAACACAGCGGGTGGTCTGATTCTACACACACACTTTGCATTTAAATGGTGTTTCAGAATGCACGAAGCTCCCTCAATCCACATTCCATCCTGCACGAAGATTACCGAAAACAGGTTTCACATCTGACAGAGGGAGGGGCAGAGCATGGAGCCACAAGGTAAGAGAACACTGACGGACAACAAGCCCACGCTTCAAGAGTTAATCAAACCAGCCTTCCACATTTCAGACACAGGATGGATTTTAGAAGGCAGCTCCATATTATGCTTGACAAAATGTGACAGAGCAAATCACAGATGCTCAAGTTATCCACGTTCCCCAATACAAAATCACTAGCACACCAAGTGACTGGCACTCAATCAGTGCAGTCTATGTACTGCTTAAACAGAGACCTCAAGCTTCCAATACTGTCTTATTTTATTAAAATACCCAAAACCAGGAAGTGACAGGTAACTGTTTCTGTTAAAAGCTGTACGTACCTGCCATAAGGAGGCTGTGTCTCAGCACATCCATTTTTTCCCCTTTTAGACCATATTTTAGTCATGCTGTATATTTTTCTTAGCACATTTCATATAAAACAAAGTAAAAACTTTGAAATCCGTAACTCTGAGTTGCTTGATTTGGTGGTCTCGCTGTCTTCGCAGAGCGAGTTTCCGGTGAGTGCTGCAAAGTGTGCCAGACAGAACTCCCCAGTTTCTGTTTATCCTGCCTGCGAGAGTTCCACAGGCAGAACTAATTATACCGAAATGGATTATTTGTAAGTAAATAACCTTCATCAAGAGAACACCAAAACGCTTTATAGTTACAGAAGCATAACTACATGTCCACCTTTACCCTAATCAAGATGTGCTTCGTATTCAACTGGGCAATTCACATTCCAGAATCACTGCAGAGATTCCCCCAGTAACTACTCAGTATGCAACGCCCTGCAGTCTGATTGGCTGACAGCCATTTGTCAAAATGCATGAATTTGCATAATCTTCACAGTTATTTCTACAACAACCATACTGTAAATATGGAAGTCTTCCAATAGTTTCTTCTGTAATCTCTTCCTACTGGCTCACGTACTCAGAGTTTTCACACTGCTTGCCAGTAACGAGAACGAGAGCGTCAGCTTTCAGCCTTCCAAACATACTAATTACCAACGGGTGAGGAAAACCCAAATCCTGAAACCTTTAGACACTTGTGCCCAACCATTATTCCCTCTCCCTCATTTTAACAGAAAGGATGTCAGTGGCCTTCAGGGCAATTCAGTAGCAGCAATGATCTGAGCTAAAAATCTCCTTTTACTGAGCCCAGATGATCATTGATCGATAGAAAGGAACAGTATAAAGCTGCTACAAACCAGACCTAAGATGAGACATAAAAATCTCAAGTGATATCTGTGCCTGCACAGACAGAATCATAGAATGGTTTGGGTTGGAAGGGACCTTCAAGATCATCTAGTTCCAACCCCCCTGCCATGGGCAGGGAAATCCTCCACTACACCAGGTTGTCCAAAGCCTCATCCAACCTGGCCTTGAACACCTCCAGGGATGGGGCATCCACAACTTCTCTGGGCAACCTGTTCCAGTACCTCCCCACCCTCAATGTAAAGAATTTCTTTCTCATATCTAACCTAAATCTCCCCTCTTTCAGTTCAAATCCATGGCCCCTTGTCCTATCACTACACGGCCTTGTAAAAAGTCACCCGGAGCCTTCTCTTCTCCAAGCTGAACAAATAATTTTTAAGATAATTAAATAATTTTTCCACGCAAGGGTGTTTCTTCAACATTTGATTGCCAGGGAATTCCAAAGCTAATGACACACACGAAGCTTGCTTCAGCCCCTGGCTTTCACACCACAAGTTACTGTCCATCAGTAAATCTCTTAACTGTGCACAGAAAAGGCAAGGTAGCAAGTCAGTTCAGCACTTTTTCATCAAGGAGCTCTCAACGGCCTCCTGCTCCGAGCACGCAGAGACGCGGGTCAGCTGGAGGCACAGTAGCCTGGAAGGTCTCAGTTACACACCCAAGTCTCATCTTTTTGCCAGGTTTATACACCCACATGGGAACAGAGGCGTGGAACAGAGGAGAGTACTTCAGACGAAACACGCAATGGAATTTAAGTTGGCTTTCAAGAGAAGGGAAGTCTCTAACAATTCTTGCTTTTGCAGTAGGTAAAATACACCACCATACTGACAAGTGAAGCGAGCAGAAATAATTCCACTTTCTGCTACAAAATAGTTTGCTGAAAGGCCAAGATTTTCAACTGCATCTCCATCAGAAGATTGAAAGAAATCACTCTGCATTATTGTATGCAGACAAAGCTAAAAGCAAAAAGATGGTTGTTTTACAGCGAACTGTATTTTAGGATCTGATGGAGGGGCATGGAGCAAATTGAGGATAAAACCTGAAGTCTAACTCCACGTCTATCTGGAACTCCACTTTGGAGACATGTTTGTGAAATGTCTCTGCAAGACCGGAGGGAGTCCATTACTAGCCTTAAACATTCACTACTTTGAGATAATGGTCCTTCATGGCTGCTGTCAGGAAACGGAGAAAGCAGTCACTCCTGAGCTGCCAGTTTTACTATTTCTGGTGCATGCAAGCAGCTACAGCCTTAACACACCTTAGAAAAAATTACCCTCCCACTATCGAGAGTTACTTCATTATTTAAAAATACCAGCTGCTTTGCACAAGTATTATTACTATCAATCAAAAATATCTAAGCAAGAATATTACAGCCAAAAAAAGTAAAATACTTATCTTAAAACAGTGTGAGAACAAGGAGACCAGTAAAGGCAACAGCTGGAATTCCTGAGAGTGAGACCCCCACGACAATTGAACTCAGCAAGATAAAAATATGTTCGTGTTTCACATCACAACTAGACACCTTTCAGAGAGAGTTTGTGCTTTTGAGAGATTCATCTGGGCTCACTGAAGCTCTCCAAGGTTTAAATTTGGTGGGAGCTTGGGAGCTTTACTGACACAATACTCCAGATCCCATCTTTTTTTTTTCCACTTATGCAACTTTTCACAGTACTCTACATGCTTAAAAAAATTCTGAAGAACAGTTTATTCATCCAAATATATCCTAGAGGACAGTCACTTTACAGAAAACAATTATGAAAGCAAATAAAGAACTTCATGAATTTGTGAAATGATAAGCAGCCTGTTCAGTTCATGTCTGCTTTATGCTTCACAGAAGTTTAAGTGCCAGGCAGCACCTTTTATCACAGTTGCATACATTGAATCCTTGACGGAACCTCACTGTCAGAAGACTAGCAGACAAAAAAACTGACCAACTGTACGAGACAGCTGTCGTGTAGAAAACAAGCTTCACACTTATTGTCTTCCGTGATAAAATTACAACCTTGTCACTTGTTATTTTGAGCCACCAGAACACCAAAGTGGGCAACAGATAAGCATAGGACTTGCAAATTGCTTTCTGCTCAAGGAGTACTAGATTGTCCCCTTGATTATCCAGTTTTGCATGTCTCATGGATTAAGTTTAAGACTCACTAAGACTTCTCTGCAAAATTCAGTATTTTCCTTGCTTTTTGTGAGGCTTGCCCAGCTATATGCCCATAAAACTTAACAGACCTAAATCCAATCAGCAATTCTGAGGTTGTTTCTCCCATGTGGGTTTGATCTTTAAAGGTTATTTGGGTTTGTTATTGGAAACATTTTTCATTCTTCTCATCTGGTGCACAACATTTCTTCTGCCACCTGGTGGAACGATGGGCCAGTGTTCCACAAAACGGAACACCACGACTGTGAACACTGCTGACACCACTGTACCTGCAATCACGGCGTATCTGTAGCCTAGGCTGATGGGCTTCACAGCTACATCACACTACATCTGCTGATGGCTCTCTTACTTAACACCAGGTTTGACAAAAATCTTTCCCTAAGTGTCACAGTGTGCACAACTGACTCCATGGAAAAGATTTATTTGAGCCAGTAGTTACTCCTGACAGTCCATGAGGTCTAAACACTCCATTGTCATTTCTGATTTACCGAAGTCACAACGATTAGCCCTTGGAGGAAGTGGCTAACCTCTGCCCAAGAATTCTTATATCAAAGCAATTTCTCTCCATGGTCTTTTATCTCCTCACTAGACAACACTCAGACTGATTAAAACAGATATTTACCAGGACTTACCATCTCTTATCATAGTAGAGTTTTCCATCTTCTATCCGGGCTTCAAACCGCTGCGCTGGAGACTCTGCTGGTGTAGCCGGGAGGTGTTCGGGAGAGGAAGGAGAGGCTGAGAACAGGAGAGAGACTGTGTTTAAAGACCAGCATGTGTCCATCACACAGTAGCACATCTGACTGCAGAACTGTAATTAATAATGTCATCTTAAGCAGAAATAATAAGCACAAAAAGCTACGAACTCAAATTTCCATCAGAAAAATATTCTCTATTGGCATGAATAATTCAACCTCTGCCTTGAGTACATAAATGATAACATTTACTGAAACAGCTGAAAAAATCTTGATAAGTAGGTGATAAGACACTATCTTGAAATAAAGTGTACAGACTCATCTAGTGAGCTGAGTGCATAAACCCATAAGTTCTCAATCCCTCCACCAACCTAACAAGCAGGCAAGCTGCCCAGATGCATCTGAATATAACGGAGAAACCTCTTTACACAGCTGGATTTTTCCATGCTCAAATGTTTCAGCCACCAAAGATGCATATACCTCCCTTCCCATCCCTGACAAACTTCAGAACAGATAAGAGACTCCACAAAGCACCCAATTCAGCACAGTAGCTACGCAAAGAACAGCAATTACACAGTCAAAACAATTATACAGTCAAATTACACAGTCAGCAATTATACAGTCAAAAAGACCACAGTGTAATTCTCTGTTCAAAACAGCATGACTGTGAACAAGTTCCAATGCAACTCTTAACTCACCTGGTCTCTTGGGTGATTTAAGCTACATGGAAAGAGAGCAAAGAAGGGTTAGAGATCTGACATGAGCCATGCAGTCTGCAGTAATAATTTCAGATAGTCTTACTTTCCATAATCTAAATTATTTTTTTAAAAATGTACTGTTAACTGGCATAACACGTCACCAGAAAAGCATGCTATAAATAGCCAAAGGCGTAGGTAATCAGTATCATGATACAAAAGGTCTACAAACTGAAGTTCAGAGCATTCAGATAATCCACTAAAGTCAAAACCAAACCCATCCAACACGCTATATTTTTGAACATGACCCAGCATTTCTCAGGGTACACGAAATACAGGAGATAAATCATGAGACAAACCTCAAGAGCTGGCACAAAAAACATGCTGCACTACTATCCTCGAAAGCCTTAATAAGCAGCCTCTATTATAAGAAATTAGATAAGCCTTAAAGTGTTTAGCAAGAAACCAATAAGGTACTAAAATCTAGAAAAACTATAAACTTACACACTTTATCCTGTCTGGTTTGCTCAAGTTCTGCGACAGTGGGGAGAAAAAACCACCTCTAAACAACAAAAAAACCACCCCACTCTAAGGCTGAACACAGAGGCAGCCTGTGATCTCACAGAAAGACACGTTAACATCTGTTCAGCCGTGTCCTTACGATAGCTCATCACTTGCTTCAGACAAAAGCTAACATTTTTAGATGACAGTCATTTTAATTAGGTTAATTAAACCTATTAAAATAAAAAGGAGGAGATACCATCTTGCCAAATCTTTTATAGTGTTACATCAGAAAGCCTACTGGGATGAAATAGTCCCACATATCAAAAAGAAACATAAACCAGAGAGCTCTGTTCTCCTCAGGGGAAAGCATAAGCTCTCCCTTCAAAACAAAGAAACACAAATCAAGCAATAATCCCTACCTTATTCAGTGTTCTCAGGTCCTCCATTATCTGCTCATCAGTCAACAAATAATTCAGCTGAGGTATCCAGAATTAAGGCTCCGTAAGCTCTTGACAAGCAAGGCTAAAAATTAAAGGTCAATGACATTTCACTTGACTAAATGTAAGCCAAAAGGTTTCTGTAAAATTGCCAAAGATTTTCCTAAGTGTCATACTTGAGCTTTTTTTGTCATATTAATAAATACTAGTCCATCTCCACAAAGCCTCATATTCAGCAGCAAATAGAGTGCAAAATCATTCTAACTTATTCAGACACAACCATCAATGAAAAACCTTTAGTGCATTGACATTTACTTCACGGAGGCATCAATAGTGTTTTCAGCGTTTTTCATCTTGTGTTTCTGTAGAGAACAAGCTGGGAGCTGAAACACAAGAGACTCGCTTCAGATTTTGAAGATCAGTCCCACCCAAACCTAGGAGAAGAAAGTCAGCATTTTGCAACTTAGTAAGGAGGAATAGAGAGAGAGGGAGGAGAGAGGTAAAACCTCATCAAAAAAAATTAAAAAAAGAACAAGAAAACAAAGCCAGAAGCACAAAACATATCCTCGTGTGGATGAGGATAAATAAAAGCCTACAATTCGCCCGAAAACAACAACAAAAAAATCTCAAAACATGTAAGTTAGTGTTTCAGAGCCTTATTAGAGCTCCGCTATCCGACTGTGTAGTTTCATGATTGCATCTTCCTACTTCCCTTTTCCACGGCTCCTCTCATTTCCACACAAGAAAAACCTGAGTGCATAAAAGGAAAACAATACCCAGACGAAGCAGTGGACTCTCTCTCCAGCTTTAATCTCCAGTTTTTCTTCAAAACAGCTGTTAAGTCAAAAGTATTCCAAGTATTAAACTAAAGTTAACAATTGCTAGGCTGTATTTTAAGGATTTCGGTTCTGGTGGACTTGAATCCTCTCCCCAGTGAGGAAAGGCAGACATAGAGTTTCGTACTGTGGCTGCTGTACCATGCTCAATTAGCAGGTCATGTTCACTGGGAAACTCATTTATATTGGATGAGATAGGGGCACTAATAAATAGATTTTTTTCTTCCCCTGAAAGAGTGAACAGAATCTCCAGCCAGAAAGAGGTTAATTAAAACTGGGGATGCTTGTGACTATCCCGCATGAACTCTGGAAGTTCAAGGTTTGATATCGCCTTCACCAAATGTGAGTCACTCACAAGTCGCAAGGTAAGGTTTTTTAATCTAATTTAAGCCATACAACTTGGTATCTAATAAGCCTCTGCAAAGCAAATATCATTGCCTTCCTTTCCAGGTGAATTTAATACCCAAACAGAAGTGCCTATCATCACAGAGGAGCTAAAAACATTTCCAGAAGCCAAGGAACATTTTAATTAAGAAACATGCAACAAGGCAGAAGAGAAGGATTACGTATACATGTTTTTCTCTCTCTCGTGATATATGAAAACAGATGGATTTTCATCTGGATTAGAGATCTGAAGCCTTTATCAGAAAAGGAAAAACTCTTTTGATATGACAAATATGATCTTTCTGGCAAACATTTTATCACATCTTGAAATGAGAAAAGCTTTGGCTCATGTAAAAAGCCGTTTACTATCTATGGAACCAATTACCTCAGCATTTATATATAACGTTCTTCTAAAGTTTTTCCTTTGTGAAAAAAAATTGCGTGAAGAATTCAAGCTATTCTCACCGACAAAAAAAAAAAAATCAAATAAATTATCACACAACACTGAAGTTGAAGTTAGGATGCCAAGGGATCTCCAAAGACTGGTGGTGGTACATTAGTTTATCACACATTATACATGACGAATTCTGCTTCAGCATTTCCTGGATTAAAATTGGATCCTAGAGCCTCATTTCGTTTTCCTTCCTGTACAAAACAGCACAGATACAAGCAGCATGCTGGCTTCAGATACAATAGCCCTCCAATGACTCTCTAAAAGGATATCAGGGGCAGGTTTCCTCCTCTTGTCTGGGATAGGAACCGGATCATTTGGTCGTCGCCTCAGTTTCCTCGTCATAATAGGCTTCACTTCCATTGAATCTGTAGAATAATGAAGTTGGAGAGTTGATAAGACCAGAGGGAAGGGAGTAAGAAGCAGCACCTTTCTACACAAGGAAAATAATCTTTCCTCTTTCATACAGAAAATTGGATTTTTTTGGTAATAGCTTCCAGCATCCAAGCTGGAACTGCTGACAGTGAACACAAGTTCTCTTTCATACTAGGTCACTGTTCAGCAACGGCGTCGCGATGCCATGGTTACAGTCTTGGTGGGCTGGAAGTGGCACAGCTGGTTTGGGGGCACTTTACAGCTCCTTCAGGGACAGATAACCAGCACAACGATGCTAAAAGGATTCAGGGCAAATTTCTTCAATGTTAATGTGACCCGCTTTGAAAAGATCATTTAAAAAAGCAAAGTTCATGGAGTTCTTTGCTAACAGAACTCGGATAGTTAATAGCAGGTAAAACATCAACTACAAATCAACTGCTCTTCTTGTCTTCAAGCTGGAAAAACAGCTTTGTCAAAGGAATACAGATAATTGCTGCATTCAAGACTGACACAAGTCTGCTGGAGTGATTTTTCAACACAAACAGTATTTAATTTCAAATTATCTAAAAATGTTTCAAATAATGATTAATGAAATAACTAATAACATGCAGAGCAGCAGCTGACAGAAAATAAGTTGCAGCATATACACTGGGGAAAAAGAAAAAAATCTGTTTAAAAATTGAAACACAAGTCTTCTCACCAAGAAGTAATTATCTGAAATTAGTTTGTCCACATGTCTACAGGTAGTCTTAACTGAAATAATTTACTCAAACTCTCACAGATCATTCCTTAATTTATGAAGGCATCTTGAACTGGCAAGCAAAGGACCACGTCTTAAATGCTAAACACATCTCACCTCTCCTTCTATGTGCTAAGAATTATTCACTCATCTTTAAGTACACCTGAGTCCCACCCTAGGCAGCGCTGAAGTCTATGAAGCCTCTTTGGCTCCCTCTAGATGCTAAAACCTGGAGCAGCTGCACATGTTCGGAATACACCCAACTACTCCTCATCTCCACGGTGAACAAGGATGACAACACTGCACATCGAGGGAACAATATGATGATTAAAACTTTAAAAAAAAATTTAAAATGAAGTGCCATCCACTGAGCGTATGCCAAAGGAAACCTTATCTCTAGCCCTAACCATCCCAACACAAGAAGGACATGGAGCTACTGGAGCGGGTCAAGAGCAGTGCCACGAAGATGATTCTGGAGCACCTCTGCTATGGAGACAGACAGAGAGTTGGGGCTGTTCAGCCTGGAGAAGAGAAGGCTCCGGGGTGATCTTATAGCAGCTTTCCAGTACCTAAAGGGGGCCTACAGGAAAGCTGGAGAGGGGCTTTTTACAAGGGCGTGTAGTGATAGGACAAGGGGCAATGGATTTAAACTGAAAGAGGGCAGATTTAGATTAGATATAAGGAAGAAATTTTTCACTCAGAGGGTGGTGAGGCACTGGCACAGGTTGCCCAGAGAAGTTGTGGCTGCCCCATCTCTGGAAGTGTTCAAGGCCAGGTTGGATGAGGCTTTGGGCAACCTGGTGTAGTGGAAGGTGTCCCTGCCCATGGCAGGGGGGTTGGAACTAGATGATCTTTGAGGTCCCTTCCAACCCAAACCATTCTATGATTCTGTGATTCTATGATTTTATGATTCAAAGCTGAATTTGAAAAACTCTGAACACCAATAGCCCTGCAGACACTAAAAACGTAACTCACTGTGTTGAACGTAAGTTGTTCTTCTCGCTTTTTAAGACCTACTCACAAGAGCCTCAGAAGAGTGTCTGGCACACTTACTCAAGGCAATATGCAGCCGAGAAGGCTTTTTCTCCTTTTTAAAAATTAGTTTCAAGGGAGTTGTCACAGAGCTATTATCTATATTGCTTAAAATGTGATTAAGGCAGAGAGATCAATTTTCTCCTTTTTATCTTAGCATCCTGTATCTTAAAATTGCAACAAGTCAGCTAAAAGTCACACCAAACAAATTTTCAGAAAAATAAAGTTTGAGATGCTCACATTTACTGTTAAACATTTGAAGAACTTTGAGATTCTCAAGACATCAATGAAAACTTAGAAAGGAAGTTTTGAACAGCCACTAAAGCACCAATACATCTGACCCGAAACACATTATGGCATGAGGCTTAGCAGACAAGAACCACACTACTCAATACTCCGGAACAGCAGGCAACTATTTTCACCTAATGAAACTGCAACACTCACAGACCAGCCTACTCATCAGGCTGCTAACTTGCATTTTTGCATGCACTGAACTTCCATAGGTTTTAAAAACCATCTGGCCAACATCAGTTCCAGTATTCTTATTTCTTAGCTTCCAGCGCATGCTCCCAACAAAATCCTTTCCTTCTAAAGAAATAGCATTGCATTTCTGCTGGTCTGGAAGGCAGGAGATACGGGAGGGCTAACGCACACAGAGCGGATCTCTTCTCCACTTGCCTCTTGCTCGAGTTGTACTTGACGAAACAGCTCGTCTCTTCAGGACTCACAACAATGGGGGGACACAATTCCCTGAAGAGGCTTAATTTGGTCCCCAAATCAGACTACTAAATACTTCTTTTTACCCCTCCTCAGTCTCCCTTTAACTCCGCAAATCTGGATCCTGATCTTAACAGCTGTCCCACTGATAGAGAAATGGGATTCCTTTGGACTCCTGGAACACTGGTACGCAGATTTCCAAAGGTAACATCCAGTCAGATCCTGATCCACTACTGAAAATCTGCTTACAAGATTAGTACTGCATCCCAACTTAGTAGCCAAGAGGCCCAGGCATAAGATGACAATAGGAAAGTTAAGGCTAAGGCACAGTTTGTAAGATCAGACTAGATCAGGCAAACAGCATAGCTCAAGATGCTTTCCAGACCAGACAGTTTGTACAAAGCCAAGAGCACTCCTCAATATGTCCAAACAGGTTTTAATTCTCACTTCTGGATACTAATTAAATAATTATCTTACAGAACTTCTGTAGATACTATGTAGGAAACATATACAAGGTCTAACTCATGGACAGGTCACAGCAATACAACAAACATTACCTGTCCATGAAGTGAGGGAGTTGCTCTTAAAAAGAGAATCAAACCAGACTTTCGGTTCAGTACCACAGCAGCACAATTTCAGAAGCAGGTTAATTACCCCCCTACTTAGCTCCACTGTGTCAATTACTGCAAAGAGCACCAAGGGTACCAACTGGTCTCACAAAAGAAATCTGTCCATTTAATGTGCATTTTCTAGAGTCTGGACACAAACGTAGCTCACAAACCTATTCAACCTATTTCAACCTTCAGCGTTTGCCTTTCTTGACCATCTATTCCTGGAGAAACAAGGACACAGCTTACAACCTGGCACCACTGGTTATGTCAATATTTGTGGCTATCAATAGTTTTACTGCCAGATCACAGGAACTAAAGAAGCTCCTTTTCCTGCATGTAAGAAAGCCCATGCACTCTCTGCTTCGCTGCCACCATTTTGATTAGTAATTCAGGTCACTGAATTACGAACTGCTTTCTCCATTAAAAGATCATCAATTTGTGTTCCACATCTGTTGGCATTTGGAAAGCTTTAAAGCCTTCTACCTGTCTATACAAAGCAGCATTGCTACACTTGTATATTTTTCTCCTAAGCTGTAGCAGAGTGGACAAGACGAACGACAGATGCCTATCTTGGTTTTTACCTCCTGTTAATTCCATGGTTAGCTTTTCATTCTCAATCATCTTCTTTTTCTCTTCCAATTCTGCAATCAAATTTTCCTTCAGCTCGATTTTCTTATCTTCAAACTCCTTTGCTGCTGCCTTCTTTTCCTTGACGTAATTTTTTTCCACCTGATCAGTCTAACGCAAACCAAAAGAACAAAAAGGTCAACTAAGGAACCAATGACTCGAGTTGATGATATCACCACAGCTCCTTTCAACTGAGGTACTGATTAGCTTTCAGTTCAAAACTGCAGCCAGTTCTAAAGATTATCGATATTCATAATCAACAGAAAACCACCTAAAAACTACTAAAGTAAGCAGTACTATATCGGAAAAAATCATTATTTTTAAAAGACATTTTAATATTACATATCAAGTCTTTAGCAGAGAGCTCTTCAGATTTATAAACAGCACTGTTCTTTATCAACTTCAATAAGTTTTTTAAACAAGCCAAATGCTCAGCCAGCATACAGCAGCCCAAGAGCAAATATTTCTTTACTTCTATTTTAATGACAAAGTCCAGAAGTTACTTGAAGTAGTACCAACAGTGGGCAGTACTACATCTCAACTGTAATAATGCTAGCTAGAGGAAGAAAATTTCTTTCTTGTGGGAAAACAAGCACAAGTACTAGTTGATGAAACGAGGTTTATATCTATTTATCTAGTTAATATATATTTGGGGAAATTAAGAGTACTTACTTCCAGCTGCAGGAACAGTTCTGAAAGAGAAGAAAGCCTTAATTTATTATCTTCAAAGATGCACAAAATTGCTTCCCTAACATTTGAAGTCATTAAATATTGCAGCCAAGAAAGGCAGTGAACGAAATAGTGTACATACTCATCCAATCTCTACTCTCACTTTGCAGTTTTACGTTGAAAATAAAGTAGCAGTGAAAAAATTCCACAAAAATATATTGTTAATGGAAGTTTTCTACAGATTGTCAACAAGATTTGCAAAGCTTACACAGTAGTATTCCAATCTATTCAGTTCAGCTAGCATTCCCAGCAATAGTAAGCATGCAGTCCATCTTCCTTCCAGTTTAATTACAATCAATTAATACTAGATACAAACTTCCCAGATAGAAGCTTGAAACATATAGCTGAATGTACAGCTGGCAAGAAAATCACAGTTTAAGCTAATTTAATGAATTTCAGCAACGCCTGGTACAGGAGTAATTCTGCAGCTGTGAGAAAATTCAGCTACTTAACCCACACGTGTCTGATTCAGGCTGTTTATGCCCGAGAAAACACGCAGCGAAATAGTTCTGTATCACTGAAGGTTAAGTTCTAACACATGGCAATGATTAGTTCTTAGGCAGGATGGGACTCTTCTCGAGCTTCCTGGAGGACATAATGCCCAAAACAAAGTTTTTACTCAACGTAGTGGCAAGAACAGCAAACTAAGGCACCTGATCAGCCCTCAAGTCATCATATTAAGCTTTGGCAATACCTGAAATAATAAAAACTTCTGTGAAGATCACAGGCTTCAAATACATTTCACAGAAGACTGCAGTAGCAATACTGTACTACTGTGCGTTTTTTTTAGTAATTAAAAAAAACAAGTAGCAAAATAGATACCAGAGATGACAATGACCCAATAATAGTCAAACCTTTTGTTTGCAAAGGACTCTACCAATTGAGCACGGAAGCAGTATTACGGAGGTGACCAAATACAGGTACATCTAAATTGCTGCTTTAATATCTGTGAATTCTGAAAAAAAAAAGCAAAACCCTAAAGCTCAAATGGGAAGGAAAACATAAAAGACCATTCTTCCTGTAATACTAAGCAGTTGGATTTTTTTTTTTAATCATAAAATTGAAAGTTATCACCATCTGCCCTCCTGTGGAAAAAACACGTTGCTGCAGCACTTGTCTTTGCCAGCCACAAACACAAGTTTGCAGTTAGTCTTAATTTTATCAAAACAGATTGCAGCTCTGATATGCATGAAATTCATCTCAGAAAGATGGATTCCTGTTAACAAGAAGTTCAATTCCCTTAAATTCCTCAAGCAAATCCTTTACCATCCTCACCTTCCATTCCTGCAAAGAAACAGCACACCCGAAGGTTTCATGCAAGCTGCACAAACGAACGAGCCAAAGTGGGAGACTAAGTTAGGCATGGTGCCAGATAAAAAATTTAAAAAACAATAAAAATGAAATATTTGAATACGGAATATTGAATTTTTTTTTTTTACTCGTGCTGTTTCACACAAATGAAGACTAAAACTGTTTATTAGTGTTTAGTAAACAGCCAGCAATCAATGTTGATGAAGGCAAAAAAAAAAAATTCAAGACAGATTCCATCATGCTTCTCAAAAAAACCTACACTATGCCCTCGGAAGCAGAAGAACCCTCTGCTCCAGCAAGTTCTTTTTTGCTTTTAAGGTCAGAATTACCACTATTTTTCTTCAAGTGTTATAAAAACTGTTAATTTAAGTTGTATGCAGCACCTTAGAAAGAAATTCCACTCACCTGCATTTCGTATCCTTTCTTTGTACTGCTGGTCCAGCTTTTTCATTCTTTTCTGGTATTCCTGAAGAGTACCTAGTTGAAATAAATTGTGAATTCTCAACAGAATTTTATTTTTTCCATGTGTTAGACTTTCTCAAGGAGCCATACACCACTTGAAATGCAAATACTAATATCTGATATCAGAAAACTACAGTTCTAGTTTGCTTATTTTGATAAGCACGTTCCCTGTTCTTTCAGAAAGCCAACTACTCCTTGTAAGAAATCCTTCAGTACACACAGGCTTAACTACAAGTGTTCAGAGGGAAAAAGGATGGAAAGTGGCTGGCATTTTTCACTAAGCAGCACGACTGAGAGCCACCATTCAGTGAAGGATGCTGCTAACATCTTTCAAACCCTCATCCTTCTATGACCTTTGACAAGTGCTGAAAATTGTTTAGGAAAAACAAAAAGCTACCCTCTTCAAAGCTTACCTTCCTGCAATTGTTGTAACTGCCTCTTCAGAGATGCCAGTTTGTCCTGATACATCCTGCAAAGACAGACAGCACGCAACTTTACTTTGAAAAACAAACACACACCATTTATTTCACCATCTACTTAGGTAGGTTACAACATGTTTACACAGAATTAAAAACTTTTCAGAAGAACTTCAGGAACTAGAAGGATATTACTCAGATGAAAGGTTATCATTCTGTCTAAAAACCCTGCCACCCCATTGGTTTTACAAGGCACTTAAACCAATTATTTTGGGAACAGTTCCGGGTAAAATAGCATTTTACTTTTTAACTGTCAAAATCTAAAATAACATTTAGATCTACAGACACCATAAACTTTACAACAGAATCATTCTGCCACTTTGTCAAGTCTTAATACTTATGCATTGGCTCCCTACTTAGAGGTCATTTCCTGACGTAGATCTTGACATTATAAAAAAAACCCAAAGTCTATTCCTGGTGCTGTTGCAAACTCGCGTTTCCTTTCTTGCATATCTGTGGTTTAACACAGGCCAAGTCTTCCTAACCTGTATAAAAAACAAGCCTCTGCCAGTAAGCAAGACAAAATACTTCAAATACACCTAAACATCAAGAGAAACTATTTCAAGCCCCCAAAAATCCTGTCTTCTTGGGCAGGACTAGCATTCTGTTTAAGGGATTTTAACAGACACCTGTCTTCTTGGGCAGGACTAGCATTCTGTTGTTTAAGGGATTTTAACAGACGTCGTGCTTTTCGCTTGGCTTATATAAAGTAGATCCTTGATTTTATTTCAAGGATCTGCCTGCAGTGGGATTCATTTGCAGCAAAACTCAGCTGCTCTCAGAAACTCATACTCATTTCTTTGTTCTAAACAGCAGCAGTGATTAGTTTCTTGAATACATATAGAACAGAGCCAGTAACTGAGGGAAGAAGAGATACCAGTATATGGACTCATTACTTATTACATTGAGCTAAGCACTTAAAAACCCCAAACTTGGCCCAAAACATTGCAAAGTTCTATGCAAAAAAAAATATCCCAAACCCCAGATGAACAGAACATGACCTTACTTTTGATTAGAAGGGGCTACTTACTGTTCTTTCATTTCCACAAAGTCCTCTTCCTCATGTTTTGCCAGATCAGTTTCGCTGGCATCCTCAGTGTCTAAATGAGGTACATAATGACTTGTTAAAACTAAAGAAGTATCTAAAAAAAACATAGTAGTACATTATTTAAAAACAAACACACAAAATCCCCAAGCCTCAGGCAATTTAACCTCAAACACACAACCAGACAGGCCTCTGGAGAGATGAACTCAGAAGTGAAATGAACCATCCCACCTCTCTCCTGCCAACGTAAGTTAACCTACGTAAACCCTCTGGTAGCTTTGCAGTGAAGCTCACATCAAGTCTACACAGCTTCAACTTTAGACAGTCTGGTAACTTCTTCCCAGATTAAGACAACAGGTTGTCCATTAACACTCACACAAAGGTGAGACAGAAACAGTCTAACGACTCTGAAAGACCTCTTCCTTTAGTTTCACCCATGACATAATACACTGTATGGAAAGCAACGTCTGAAACAGCCATAACGTCCTGCATCCTGACTGACCTGCAACCCTCCAAAATGAAAACACTGACCTGATGCTCTTGGGGATGCCCACAATGGTCTTGCTAAAGGTAACAAAGTTACTTGCTGTAATCTGACCTTGACTTCTCAGCTACACGCTGCACGACATTTACACATAACAAAGAGCAGCACGACCATGAAGACGGTCCCAATTTTATGAATAGATAATATAAACTGTAAACAAATTAAACAAGAGCGGGACTGCTAGTTTTCTGCTAGGCTTTTTCAGGCTTCTGAGACATAAGTAGCCAAGAATTCGTTACCTTTCCTCCCCAGGGAGAGGTCAGTGTCCCCAGGCTGGAGATGCAGCAGGCAGGGTACAGCTGTAACGTCTAAAATACAGCTGTAGTTCCAAATTCCATACACTTGGACAGGGGGTACCAGTCCCTTAAATCAAACCTTCCTCAGATTTTTCTTAAACTATGAACAAATGCTTTAAGCTTACATTAAGATAAAATTCAACACACCAAAGATAAATCAAAAAGTTTTAACTGAAAGAAAAAAAACTTGGATGTCTAGGTAACCATAAAGGACTCCTATACCCAGTTCACCGAGTGCAACCACTGGGAGCCCCACACCAACCAGTACACTGCCATTCTTTGTAAGGATCCACAAGTTTGGCTCTGGCATCTCATTCAGGAACGTACCGGACATGATGGAGGACTCCAGCTGACAGAGCAACAGGCACTGTTGAAAGGCAATTCTTCATCTCCCTTATATGTTATTTTATGGGCCCTACACCCCAGAATACTCTGAGTTTTGCCTCCATTTCCTCTTCTCTATTGCTTTCCTGGTCCTTCTACAAAACTCCTCTCTCCTCTAAAATTCTCTTGCACTCCCTAACTTCTGCCTGCGGTTTCTTCTACCTTAACTGCCTCCTCCTCCCCCCGCCTTCCTCTCACAGAACTATAACCAAGCTTCGTACACCAGACTTCTCCGCAACCTTTCCCCTGTTGTCCGATACAGGCGATCCCATCTCCTCAGCGCTCTCGCCTTCTTTCACTGCCTCTTCTTCACCTGGAAACCACTTCCAATTCCACTTGTCAGCTTTGCTTTCCTACTCTTCCACAGGGAGCTCCAGCAATCTAACAAGCCCCCGTTTTCCTCCCATTTTCTTGCTGCTTCAAACCACTTTTCCACCAAACTCGACCCAAGATTTTCTTCCCCGTTCTCCTCCACCTCCTCAGCGCACT